CATTTATCTATAGTGGAAAGTGCAGTGTTTGATCGGCGAAGGTCAGTGTCCGAAATATTTACTACACCGTGTACATTCAGTTTTAAATGATGTACTAAATTTGTTTAATTCTTTCAGGCTTCAAACATGTATGGAAGAGTACATATTTAATATTTTCCACCCAAAGGTATGATACAATCTAAATTTATAAATGTTATAACATTTCATATTGACTCTCTTTTTTAAGTTCAATTACAATGCTACACAAATAAATTTTAAAATTTTCTCAGTACTCAAATGTTTTATCAAAATTATCCAACATAAAGCAAGATAGGTACCTTGTCTGTTTATCCCTGAATCTGTACATGTAGCATTCGATAACTTCCTTTTAAAAGTCCCACCTTTTGTTAGCTTCTTCATGAATCCGAGGCTGTAATATTGTTGTGATTAACAGAACCTCTGTATCTTCACCTTACAGAAGAAAATGCAATATAAATTAGGAAACATGCTTTTTTAAAAAATAAGAAGTATAAACACCAACAGATTTATGAATATAAGTTTTTTTACGTACATGAGACTTGCAGACTAACTTCATCACAACTTTGAATCTGCAAAGTGCTTGTGTATATATACTCTCAAATGTATGTATGTATGTATGTATGTATGTATGTATGTATGTATGTATATATACACACACACACACAAAGATATATATTTAAATGTATATGTGCACACATATATATAAACAAACTATTATGTGTTTATGGTATGATATACTCCGTAAATGATATAAAAATGTATAATACAAAGAGGCTATTATTACGTAGCATCCCATGTGTGTGTTCCCATGGATTTTTGTAAATGGAACTCAGCTGTTGTTTTATTAAATTATTAAGAGACAATAATCTTGTGTTTTGTAAATAGGATCTTATAAATTATATTATTTTATTAGATTTTTTCTTGAGATAAAATTTAAAAACAGATTATTCATTATTTAATGGCCCAACTGTGTGTGTCTTCATTTGGCATTTTTTATATGGCACTTTATAATAGATAATTGGCAGAATTTAAAAATTAGATAAAAAACATACCCTAAAAAGTAAGTTTATGACCAAAACATGTGTGTGTGTGTGTGTATATATATAATGTATATATTAATATACGACACAGACTTGTTCTGCTAATAGAGAGGTTCTGTTAATATAATCCTGCACAATCTTACTATATACAAATCTCTTAATGAACCTTAATATAATTGTCCTAATTTTTTTTATGTGTTCCCTTGGAATATTACACGTTTTATCCTAATTTTTAAAGCTGAGTTCCAGAATTTGCTCCCCTCTAAATTCTTATTCTGCTTTAAAAACATCCCCTTCTAAACTGTGTTTTTTTCGTATAGAGGGTCTATACTGTAAATAGCCCATTTATTTTTAAACTTTTTGTCCATTTTCAAAAGTGAATATTGGATTTATTTCTCAGATAACTTCTTTTTAAGAGATTTTTCAAATGAAATTCTGATTTCACCCATCGAAATAAGATCTCTCTCTTAGGCTGATGTTTGTGTGTTCGTTTCTCCACAAATGGATCTTTATTTTAATTTTTATTTAAAAAAAATCAGTTTCCAAAAAAAGCAATTTGGTATTCGTTTTAAATTTATTTTTCAATGAAATCATTTAGGTATTTTTTTAAAATAATTTTTTCAACATGAAACTTCCGTCTACGTGACTCGTGTTTACATGGTGATTCAATTGTATTCTATGAAACGCATCATCCATGGAGAATATCCCATGGAATTGTATTCTTCACCGTAAACATTGAATTAATAAAATATAATCATAAATCCATTTTTCAATCTTAACATGGAAAGACCACACAACACCATTTAATTGAAAAAACAAAAACATTCAAAAGTCTGAAAAACATATGAGTCTCAAACAAAACAACACAAAGATTACGCGAATATAAATTAAAGCATGTTCAAATTGATAAAATTTGACCCATTCTCTATTTCTCAGCTTTAATGGCCTTCATTTTAAGGAGCTCTTTTGTGGCTCCAAATTCCTCATCTAGATCCCTCTTAGTAGGGTCATCGGCTTCCTTATAAATCTCATGCTTGCGTTTTCCACCAAGACAGCTGCTCGCCCAGGGTATCTCATCGGGAATTTTGACCTAAAATGAAAAACAAACTACGTTAATACACACACACACACACGTATGTTTTAGATATAATCAATCGGTTGTTTTATTATACCTCTTCATCTTCAACAATAACTTCTTCTTCGTCCCAAAAGCCTAATTTCATGTCCTCCCCATCGTGGGTATCGTACAACTTCCATATATTGGGGTCAGAAATCATTGCCGTAACACCAAATGACTTAGCCTCGAGAAAAAAATCTTCTGACTTTGGTTTTACACTTACTCGGAAAAGACCCTTTCTCTGGATCAAACTCTCAATTTCTGGCAATGGGAAGGAATCTGCGTTTCCCGTACGCTGTAAAAAAATTCAATGTTTTTAATGTTCTTCAAGTTTAATGCTTACAGTATATACAAAATATTTATACAAAATATGTTTAGGTATCTATACCTCAACCATGAGGTCTCTCATTCCACTTGTCGACCTTCCTAGCAAGTCGGTGCATTCTCTATCCCAAAGTGTTATGGTGGTGTAGTCGGTAGGGTCCATAACCAACACATTGATCCTATACCTATAAGTATGGATCAACTCATTATAATATGTTGCTTTGTTTTAAGGTCAGAGATACTAAAAATTTAAGAATCA